GGAGGAAGTCCCAGCCTACGCAAGTCACCCTGGCAGACGGTCATACGCACAAGTCCATCGACCGGTGCATTGACGCCGTCCCAGTGTACTTTGCCCCTCACGCAAGTGAGGCGGTGTCCTTTGACATTCTGGACACCAAATTCGACATGATCTTGGGCATGTCATGGCTGCGAAGCAAGGATCACCCGGTGAACTTCTTCAACCGCACCGTTCACGTTCGTGACCCGAACGGAGTATTAGTTCCATGCACGGTGCCTCCTCCTCATCCTTCGATCAGCTACCACGTGGTATCCGCCGCAAGCATGCGAGCTTCCATCATCARAGACGACATCGAGGAGATGGGGGTGTGTTTTCTCCACACCCTCCCACCACATGACGCTTCATCGACGGACTCACCTTCGGATCCACGCATCACCAAACTTCTCGACGCCTACAACGACGTGTTCGAAAACCCGCATGGAGTACTACCGGAGCGACCTATCCGCCACGAGATCATCCTCGAGGACGGGGCCGTACCTCCGCGCCGTTGCATCTATCGAATGAGCGAGGAAGAGTTAAGTGTGCTTCGGGCACAACTCGACGACCTTCTAGAGAAAGGCTGGATTCGGCCTAGCTCATTGCCATACGGTGCTCCTGTTCTCTTCGTSCGGAAGAAGAACAAGGACCTGCGGTTGTGCATCGATTATCGCAAGCTCAACGCGCAGACGATCAGGAACGCCGGCCCTCTCCCACGCATCGACGATCTTCTCGAGCGATTGGGCGGCGCCCAGTTCTTCTCTAAGTTGGATCTCAAGTCAGGGTACCACCGACTCGAGATTCGCAAGAAGGATCGCTACAAGACCGCGTTCAAGACTCGGTATGGGCATTTCGAATGGTTGGTCAAGCCATTTGGCCTTACGAATGCCCCAGCCACTTTCCAAGCGGCCATGACGACGGAGTTCCGCCACATGCTGGATCGTTTCGTACTTATATACCTCGACGACATTCTGGTTTACAGCCGGAGTCTGGACGAGCATGTGGAACACCTGCGCACCGTTTTGGAGCGGCTACGACAGGCCAAGTACAAAGCCAACCGCGACAAGTGCGAGTTCGCACAACAGGAGCTGGAGTACTTTGGACACTATGTGACGCCGCAAGGCATCCGTCCGCTTGCGGACAAGATCGAGGCCATCCGCGTATGGCCCGAGCCCACCAACACCACGGACGTTCGTTCATTCATGGGGTTGGCAGGCTATTATCAGCGTTTCATCACCGGATACTCAAGGATTGCCGCACCTCTGACGAGACTACAATCGCCAAAGGTGCCATTCGTATTCGATGACGACGCGCGCCAGGCTTTCCAAGCGCTCAAGCCGCGCCAGTACAAAGTTACATTCAGAGCATGTGATCCCGACGACACTCGGTGGATTTCAGGAGTAGATTTGAAAGCGTCTGCACCGCTGATCTACGCTCACTACAAGCGACAGAGGTTAGCCAAGGGACCTCCACGACCTGCCCCTCCCACCCGGACTGTGGTCCCTCCCTTAGACAGACAGCTTCGCCCTCGTAGGTAAGCTCGGTCTTTCAAGGAGGGGGGGGTGTGGCATACTGTGCAGCCACACGGGCCCTGCAGGGCCCGTCCCAGACCTCCAGCCTGTTTCCCTACAGGGAAACTTCCAGGCTCTTACCTAGAAGCGCCCTTCTGACAGGGCCTACAAGCCCCAGCCTATTACCCTACAGGGAAACTTCCAGGCTCTTGCCTGGAAGCTTCCTTCTGACAGGGCCTACAGGCCCCAGCCTGTTTCCCTACAGGGAAACTTCCAG